TTTTGTAGATGTTGCAATCAATTACAGTCTTCTTGAGAGTTGAAACAACAAGGAAGGGCAGAGGGATGCGATCGAGACGATGAGGGATAAGAGCAGCGACACTTTCGTCCAGGTTAGCGAGCGCTTTTGTGCCGGAAATGCTCGTTGCCTCCTCATTAGCCTCCCGCTGAGCTTGGCGCTGTCGCTGGTGGCGCTCGTTCATGCGATTCCGCGTTATCAAGTTCTTGAAGGCGATCAGTTGTAAAATCAACTCCTGTATTTCAGCCGTCTAAAAGAACCAAATGAGTCGAAAAAAACTCAAAAAAATGGTGCGACCCCTTTCTAACACGAATGGTAAGGTAGCTACCTATCCCAAAAGCCGGCATCGAATGCAAAATGGAGTAGGGTGTTACCTTATTTCTGAGGGAACTCTGCCGTTTCTCCCGCTCTTCTTCTAGCCTTCGGCACTCCTCAATCATATTGACTGGCAACCCTACCCATCGGATTTCCTTCTTCTCCTTCTGCAGAACATTGAGGGCCATCAACACATTGAGGGCGTCATAAACTCGGCGGCGAATATTTTTTTGAATGTAATGAAGCTAGAATTGGTCGAAAAAACATCACTTCATGTTTTCATTGACCACTGCAGTAACATCGCGAAAATATAATGTTTTCATTAAACGTTTGGTTTAAAAATAGACCGATTAAGATGGTAGTCTACCTGCTCTGATGGAATCATTGGATGTTCAGCGGCGTATTCGTGGACAAGTTCATCCGCAACCTCACTGTAAGATGTGACATTCTTCTCCTTTACCTTATTGCAAACACAGCGAGCGTAACGTCTGAGCCCATTAGTCTTGAGTCCTGTGGTTACGCTGAAACGATTAAAGTCAGAAATATATTCTGACCGTGAAAATGAAAACTTACTGATCTTGTTCTCCTTCTGACTCGTGGGCACCAGGACTGGTTTGGCGAGCAAAATGGGCCGCAGCTGGATGTCCTGCAGCCGTGGCAGCGGAGAGGTCAAGGAAGCCAGGCTGAACAAACCCTTCAGCGCCAGCAGCGCCCGCAGATATGAAGGAGTTTTCAACCTCCTCTCCAACTTGCTGTGTCAGGTGTTGCGGCAATGCAAAGCCCTGAGCCACGCGCGTCTGACCTGATGCACTCGACACGATAAAGGTTCTCTATATGGCAGCAAAACGGGTTGCATATCAACGAAGTGGCAGAAGACTGGGTTATGAAAAAAAAACCCTACTGGTCGAATATGGGTGCCTGGTGCGCCCAGGAAGGTCACGTTTCCTGATGTCTGGCCGGTTATTTGAGTAGCTGGTCGGAGAGCTAGAACTCGAGGCGTTCCTACAGGTGAGCCAACCCCACTCGAAGCTATCACTGTTCCACCCGGGCCGATCGTCTGCTGGCCCGAGCTGGTAAGAACCTTAACGCCTCGTTGGAGCATGTGCATGGGTATGACGGCAGCTTTAATTGGCTTACCACCAGCTCCTTGGCCAGGAACTGTAATAATTTTGACGGTCTAAAAGAAAGTAAATCGTTCAAAAAAGTAATTTACACATTTAAGAATAAACAACTGAGGAAATGAATGGAATACTATTCACCCACCTTAATGCCCTGACCTGGTTGCGTAGGGGAAGGCACACCACCCTGGCTAGAACGTTGCACCATAATAACACGAGGTCCACGAGCAGTTTGTGGAGTGCCAGTCACCCGAACAATCGAAGGGCCAACAGATTGAAACACGCCTTCATTTGGCGCTGGCGAAATGTTCTGCACCAGCGTTGAACCCACTGCTGACACGTTAGGCTGATCGTTTGAGTCAACGGTAATTTCTTGTTCTGCTGCCGGTATGTCGAAAAAGTCCCCCGAACCGCTCACAAATGATTCAGCCTTTATATCCATTTACTACAAATGATGAAATATAGCCATGTTACTATTTGACACTATAGTGAAAAATGATAGTAAAAATCGACAAGACCCTCAAATACTAACTCGAAATTACCACCCCTATCACGAATAGAACTTTTGCGGCACGACGATGGAGACTCTTTACTAAGACTTACTTAATCCCGAGGCTACTAAGAAAACATTCGGCATTATAATATGGAGCATGGGTAGTAGGAAAGAGAAATGAACACTCCTCAGATACGCGAAGGACGAGAATTAAGTGAAGTAGAGGGCAAAACTAGGCAACAAACCAAAGTGACAGATGCATAAAAACAAACCATCCTAAATACACCAATTACGTTAAGACCAAAATGGGAGTGACAAGGCAGTACTTTCAAAACGTGATTTCGATAATCCAATATGCGTGGAATACCGCGATATGGGCGAAGGAGACTCGAAAACTGCATCTCGAAAACAGACAGATTTCTCAACCATATTTTGAAAATGCCGGAAAATTGGAATTTCGCTCACTTTTGTAGCGGAAATTTCGAAATGGAGAAAACCCCTACCCCGCGTAATCCGGATGTAAAATAAACCTGCGTGATGTATTTAAACAAACTATGTAGCCGACAATAATACGTTATTCAATCCATATCTAAGAAAATAAACCCAAAAACGTAGGTTTTTTATTTTTAGAGTACAAGTTTCTTATTTTGTGTACAGAAGACGGGTTGATTGTGAGCATGACTAGGAGAAGTTATTTTGATCTTCCAAAAATACATGTACAAAACAAGATCGGGTTCCAAACTTGATCATAAAAATTGAAGTAATTTGGTGAGCAGCACAGAAGTGAGTATGGCTAGCTCGAAAGACAGAGCTCACCCTCAGATCGCCGTCCTTTTGACTGAACAATACTTGTTTGATTTGTGGGTCTGCTTGTGTGTATTCGGCTTTAGCACTTCTGTCGTCGTTTTATTGTCATGGTGTTCCCTAGTTCGCCTCCATGTGAATAGCGGTACCCCACATTGGCAACTTTTGAAAAATCTCATTTAGACCTATATAAGACACAAATTCTTAAAAAAACTTGAAAATCCTGTTCAGGAATTCCGATGGTGGTTTCTGACTTTGCCATTTATTTGTGCTTTTTCCACATTTCAGCTTTTTGTTTGGCCTCACTCTACAAAGGTGCCTATTTTACACTTAGGCCGTGTGGTTTGGTCATTTTTTGGCGAATAAGGAAACAATTGGTTCCGAAGTTTGTATTTGTCTTTATAATAGTCATTTTTAAGGTCATTCGAGCGGCGTAGCGTAAATCGCTACCAAATCACATTTTTAATAAGTTGGTCAGTCTAGGTGAGTCCGTGTTTCCAGTGTGTCCCTTCTGTGTCGTATATTTTGTTTATTTTCACCACTTTTATCAATTTATGTCGCATGCACTTATTCTAGTTGTCGTCAATGTCCTGTTTATTTGTCCCTAAGGTGCTTCTTGAATTGGTTTCCATTTTAAATTTATTTGGCAATGGCGACTGTTGTTTCAAGCATTATGGTTCTCCTTATACTATGCTATCGGGGATCGTTGTTTGCTTTTTGTCCTTTGAGAGGTGCTGTTGAATAGTTGATTTGTTGTATATCTCGTGGTCCTTTTGTTGTGTATGTGCATTGGTTCTCCTTTTAGTTCATTATGAATATTTTGTTACCTCCTTTCCCGCTCTTCTACTTTTGTTATTTTAGAACTTGTTGTAATTTGTTTGCCTTGAATCGGATGCAACTAGAATTGTTACCTGTCGCAATTTTGGGGCTGTTAGACTTAAGGTCTTTTGGAGGGCTTGAAACATGTTTTTTTTTCCCATTATTGATTTTGAAAATGAATTAGCCTTGCCTTAGTTTACTCATCAGACCAATCATAGGATCAGCTGCATGGGTTTACTTTCCAAGTACATTACTTCTTTTTTTGGTCTATTCTTACAGTTAGGTGGTACTCATCAAGTAATGCTGGATCTTTGAACAATTTGGCAGGGAAGATAAACCGTCTAGGCTGTTGATTCGGAGCAAAATCAATAACCAGTTATGCATTAACAGCATTTTCTACTGGTTCGGAGTTTCATTTTCAAATCCTCATTGTAACATCTATTCGTCTGCCTGAGCTACGAGACCCTCATTTGTGATTATTGTGTTAGATCCTTACCCGATATGGCATTACTTTCTCTTGGTTTTAGTTTCTATTTAATCAGTACCTCTGTCTCATCAGAATTGCGGTCTCAGTACTTTCGCATCCTTACACATACCTTTCTTAATCGAAATGCGATTCAAAGGTTTGTGATTGAGAACTTCTACTATGCCTATAAAATTCTGGTAGTAGTATTTGATATCAAAGTTGTATCTTGATTTTAAGCTTTCTGTTATTTCCCGTATTGTATACGGTATATTTTGTCTATTTGTTGCGTATTTTGGCTTTATTTGACACACGTTAGGCAGTTTTAGCTAATTTCGATGATAAGCCTCTCCGATACTTTCAACGACTTCTATGACGTGTCCTTCGATCGGTATAAGTTTTGGATTGATTTATTGTGTCGTTTTGGTGCTTTAGCATTATTTTGAGTTGATTAATTATGCATTTAGCTGAATGTCATCGTCACTGATTTAATCACGCTCTCACAGTATTGCCGTTGTCTTGTGCTATAATTGTCCGGTGATTGCAACCACTGTTTATGTGCAGGACCACCCGTCATGTGTCAACACGTGCAATCCTTCCCTTCTTTTTACTTCGCCTAGCCTAGTGTATTTGCGTTTGCACGTGTTTGTGCGCTAGTGTCACGTCATCTCAAACCACATGCCGTCATACTCACGAGTTTCCCCTATTCAGTACGATTTTCATCCACAGCCCCAGATTGCTCACACTAGACTTCGTTTTTAAGCCCTTAGACGGTTTTTACCCACTCTCTATGCAACATTATTTTAGAACACGAGCAATATCAGTTGAAATTTCTATTGTTGTCACCGAAGTATTGAATTTAAACGTATTGGCATGTACATCGTCTTTATCCAAGTTCATCTGATTGATGTTTTACCCGCCTTCCGAGTTTGTGATAAAGATTTTTGTGAAACCGCCTCTCTTTGAGGGTCATGAGTGAATTTCAATCTGCAGTAATAACCAGCTCCAGTTACTGAGACGTTTTATTTCTACAATGAAAATCACAAGGCACCGTATCACGTAAAAACGGGTTTCTACAATTTCTATTTGAGGAGAATGGTAATATCGCTTGATGCACAAAATTACGAAATTTCATAGAAATTCCGTCGAATGATTCGTTTGCCCCTTGTGAAAGTTGATCCGATTGAATTTATAAAATAACGCTTGATAGTCATCACTCTCCGTTAATGTTTTAACCAATGCGGTATGCTGGTGAGGAGGGATTAAGGAACACAACATTATGACACTACGAAAGAGCAAAGTCAACTTATTGAGCGTATAGCATATCACCACGATGGTACTACGCTACAATGAACGCATTGCCAATGTGGATCATCTTATGCACGCAGCCCAGTTGAGATTTTATAAAAACAATTCAGCTTTGGTTTTAAGGTGGGGAAAAACGTTGGTTGAATTGCACTGGAACGAAGTGGCAATTATGTGGGAGAGATTTAGTAAACTCCTATCGATAAATGCAAATCTTTTGTTTCGTTGCATAGCAGTGGGGGAAGAATAGACAGGTCGTACTGGTGTTCTGACAACCAACTTACAAATTTGCAAATGATCGTTCACTGGCTAAAATCCCGCCTGTTGTCTCTCCAACGCACTTTGAGCATAACTGTTTATTCGTTACCCCGTTACATTAAGCCGCTCCCTTATGACCACGGTTCCACACGATAGAAAAATACAATCCAATTTTGTCTTATGTGATTCAAGTTCCATTTTGCAGGAGCTGCTGAAATAATGGCTAACAAAGTTGTGGTATACTCATTAGGCTTCCAAGGTGGAGCTCCAACCAGCAATTATTGAGAGTGAAATCGGCGATGGCTTTGTGGGGCTATAATTTCAAATAATGCGGTCAGACCTGCAATTTATGACGCCTCTAATATCCTGCTTGGTGCCCTGTGTTATGGGTTACTAGGTAATTTCAATCGTGAGGTCTCCCGTGCTTTATGCTGCTCCAAAATGATGGATCTCCTCCAACTGTTTTAGAAATGAAGCAGTGACCATCCTTTTTGTATTTCTGGAGTAACAGGACCAATTCATGAGTACTATCATGGTCAAATTTTCTCCCATGCCATCATTCTCTGCAGTTTGGAGTGGTATCCGTATTCAAGTTCCACAATCCCACCATTTTTTGGAATTCGATGTATGCTTACTAGCTATTTTGCTATGTATGGCTCAAACACTTCTCTGGACGACGAGTTGGTACTTATTAACTTGGGTAATGCAATTTCCCTTGGTTATAACCTAGATATTCAATTTAACAGGCATTACATAAAGGCTGGCAATTTTACATGCAATCCGATACCCTTCAGGTTTTCCCAATTCAATCAGCTTATTCGCTGCCATTCGTTGACTTTTCATACCAGATTAGTGTGGTTTGAAGAGCTGTCATTTGATTGCATGGTTAATTGACTGCTGGACAACTATCACCCAATTGACTGCCCGTGCTAATCACAAGCAGAATTTCTTTAATTTCATGAGCTATTTAATGGTCCGGCTCTCGCGGATTGTCTTTGAGAGCCAGCTATTCCACTTTTAGATTATCTTGTAACTGCGTCCCCACCTTTTCAGCTTAACTGAGGCTTCACTAATACGATCGTCTGTGTCCATGTAGAAAAGCGTATTTTTTTACTTCGACTCTTTGCTGTTGACTCCCATATAAGGCCGTCATTTCCTTTGCTTTTACAAATTTACCGTTTTCTGAACACTTCTTGTGGAGTTTGGGGAAAAAATTACGCCATAATTAGGCGAAACTAGCAGTCCCAAAGTGACCTATGTTTTGCAGGTGCTGATTGATAGGTCAGCCTACTCTGCACTTCTGTTTCGCTTAAATGCGAAGTCAGAATCGTAAATTGACCTTCCATAAAGATATAACGGATCCTGTTCCTGGTCAGGCTTTCTTTTAGCAAAACAGATCTCGATCCCTTAATTGACCAACCCATGTCTTTAGACCCACGATGCACTGATTGGTCACCCCCAAGCGATTTGACATTTGACTGAGGTCTGGTCATTTTTGCATCGCAGATTATGCAGCTGATAGCTTATATCCTCCCTCTCTCGTCGATGCTTAAATGAACTGGCATGTCTTTATCCACTTTGAGTGAAGGGAGGGGCTGCTTTGCATCTCCCGCTCTCTCATAAACTACCACTAGATACTGCAGCCGCAAATTTGAAGTTTAGCCTCGGTTTTCTGGTGCTTGGCCGTTAACTAAATAATGTAAACTTGGTCTCCACACCTAGGTTCGAATTTGTATTGAATGATACCATTCCATCGGCATTATCATGCATGGTTATGCCCTGTGTAAAATAAACTTTCGTGCGATACTCTTAAGTGTAATTATTTTATTAAATTAGCTGAAAGATCGACCAGAGTGACATCCACACGGGCTTACTAAAATTGGATTTAATCTTTCAGACCATACGAAATCCGTCCACATCCAACTCTGTAACTCCTACATCATGCTGTGATATTCCCACATCACAAACAATTCCTATTCATTTGGGTTGGACTCGGAGTTACTGGTTGCACGATCAGTTGTTCTATCGGTGTTTTGTGAATAAATTTTGATTTTGGCAAGCGTTTCTACTTACCGAGTTCCTCAAGCACGAATTCGATTACAGTACTATGGATAGGAGACCGCGATTTTCTAGGGTTATATGCCAGTTTGCCTCAACATTTTGACTTGTCTTATCAATTAAACCAATCCTCTCGAAATATTGTCGCTATATTTCTCTTATTATTTTCTCCCCTAAGCAGTTTGTGGTTGTTTATTATCGTTATTTTGCCTAATAGATCACTGGAGAGATTCGTTATAGCACATTAATTCCAAGGCTAAGCCACCTATCTGATATGATTGTATGGTTTGCGCATCTGTTGTTGAGAATTTGACTTTAGTCCCTTGCATTGTGTTTGCACTGGTAAATGTTCTGCGCCTCATTTACTGAGGGAATGTAAGTCCGGGTACACAAAACCATTCCTTTACCTTTTTACCATCATACATCGGATACTGAGGCGCTATTCTTGGTGGGGAGCTCTTGTTGGTGAGTTAGCTCCTAATCGGACAATTTAGCGTGGATGATTATAACGTCAGGTTGTCATTGGTTATACCTTAGATACCATTGCCTCCATGGCCTTGGTCTCGGCTGCGCAATTAGTAACTCTTCATCTGCGATTATAATCATAGAGAGGAGCAGGAAGGTCGAACCCTCTTACGCACCTTGGTAACCAGTTATTCGAATTATTAGACCGCCCTCATTACCTTGGCGGTGCTTTATTACCACGGTCCCCAACCGTCTGTTCATCTGTAAATTCGGCTGTTTCCAGCCCCTTAGTGCCCACTTTTCATTCGTGTTCTTATTTGAGTTTGTAGAAGTTCAAACCTCATTGTGTGGCCCTTAACATTTGAACACCTGTACCTTCTTGCTCATTAATCCCCAATAGAATCGCACAAAGAATGGGATTAGGGATGTAAACGTATTTGTCGTATAGGCGGGTTATAAATCCATGCCAGGTTTTGCAAGAGCTTATCCCTGCTCGACCACTTGGGTGTTGTAACGGTTTATGCGTACACGGATGATGACCTGACAAGGTCACAACGATCCAGGAAAGCATTCTATTGACCTCTCTCTCTTTCCGCCCCTCAACGTTTCAGTTAGCCCGCGAGCGCTCAACCGCTTCACCTCTCAGCGACACCACGAGAGCAAACTTTGGCCATACTATGCTGCTTCAGCTCTAGTGATTTCACCGGACTCTTTTGTATTCAGCATCCCACTATCTCCCTCGCCAATCTTGCCGACACAGCATTCAGCACAGCAGAATCTCATTTCAATCACCTCCACTTGTCGCACACGCGTGCATCATGCCAACGGGAACCACTGATGAAGCTATCTTCGGCTGTCCTGACTTAGTAAGTAGCACTGAGGTGCCTTTTCATTAATCTTATTTGGAACCCACTACCACGTTAGCCCAGACAGTGGCTGGTGCACGTGTCACGCCGTCCCAAGGTGTCGTATCGTTTTCACAAAATTTCTGAATAGACATTCGATCCGTTTACAAAATCCCAACGCCGCATTTCTTTGTATAAATTTTTCCATTGATCTACAAGCTCATTTCATGCCCTGCTATCAGTATATTCAAAGCCATAAATAGAGTTCATTTGGTTTAGATCAGGGTCAGAGGCTTCAAACAGCCTGTTTGTGCATGCGCCGCATAGAAATTGTAGTTAGCTTTCTTTTCTATGCAAAATCACGTGATTTCTTCTTCCACTTTAGTTCCCTATGCATTATGCGACAATTTTGAAGATCGCTACATTACGTTGGCAGATTTACACTAAAGAAATCCTTGGGTTATGAAAATAAAACGATTGTTCAAACTGTGAATCGCTAGGAGAAAAATAAAATTAACTTGCGCTTGTGTTCAAAATGGCGTGTCGATTCCTAGTGAAAAAAGAGGACGCGGACACCCTAGTTTAACTCCTTTGTGGGACCGGAATGCAAGCGGTTGACCTCTCCGTGCCCAAAGCCATTTCACAAATGGAACTGCAGTACATTCATCCTCTTAGCCTGCCTTTCGGAGTTTCCAATGGTGTACAAAAGCATTCAGCTTTTTGAATCAGATCATAAAGTGTATTTGTCCCTTGATTTGGGCAAATCTTAAGGTTACTGTGTCTGAAAGCCCTTGTGACTTGGATTTGTGCATAGTGTTATTATCTGCTCTGAAATCGTTTTTTGTGTTCTCCAAATTACCGAGGAACTTGGGTGGCTAAAGTTTTATCTTAAACGTCCAAGTTAGCTAATCCTGTCTTGGCTGGCAAAACCTCTGAAGATTTGTGAATTCTTGAGTTATATTCCCAATCAGATTCTAGCATTGGATTACGCTGGATAAACGAAGCTAATTCAGAGTTTAAAACTCTCCTTTAAGTCGTCTTTGGGATATTTTCGTAGTTCACCTGTTCTGTGTTTTAACCAACAGTCAGCTCTTTGTATGCCTAACCTGTTTTTCCTTTGCCCCTCACGCAAAATCCCCACTTTGAATTCACCTGATTCGCGACGGTGCCAGATGGGGTTGGCTAAGATATAGTGAAAAACGCTACATCAACGTCCTTTGTCCTAATCTGTGCACCTGTGAGACGGCCGACAGTTGTCCCCGACCCAAATTACTGGCTAACCGGTCCGGGCCTTTTCACAAATTCGTTTGTGGTGTCTTCCAAGTTGCCTGGTGCGGAGCGTGGGCTCGGCGTTGTACCTTCCACTTCATCAGTGGAAGCCTGCTTCCGCCTAACTTGGTTAAATCGCCTATACTTGCGGCAGCAGGCGTCGTGATGTTGACATACACAAAAGAGGGCTAAGGATGATATACCTGCGAAATTGATTCCTAATTCAATGCGTCAATAACGAGAGCCGATGTTGTTTACAGACCAATGCTTCGCAATGCTTTTCAGGGTGCATGCACCTACACTGGCCGATTGTACACCCAAAAAGCATTCTGCTCCCGAAATCGGGCTGAGTCTGTTGGGCCATGTAATTAATAAAACCCCAATACCGTGATTCAGTCATCTCGTGTGGATTCAGATCTAGAGTGTTGAAAAGGAATATGCATTAACCTTGTCCTTTTATTTGTTTATTTCCACATTCCTAACTAGTGGTCACCTCCCGTGTTGTACAAGATAAACATGTCACAATAGACTGGGATGGCCCGTGAACTTCATTGATGCCCCAGTGTTCAGAACCAGAGCGCTATGGTTGAGTTTATTTGTGTATTTTCAACCTCCAATTGAGTGCACTAGCATTTACTCGTCCTTGAAACATTTTACGTATGCTTCTTGAAGCTATTTCTTTTCCCTTAGAAGTTGCGGACAATGTTCGTTTCTCTGTTGTGTTCAAAGCTTAAAGAGAATTATCCATTTAACTAAACGCTTGTGAGGTGGTAGTGCTCCTGTTTTCCTTTGGCCAAACCCAGCTACCATAAATGTTTGACAGCAATTTATGCCATTTATTCCCTTTCAAGCATGAAGCACTAGGTGTGTGAAACTTTCATTTAGTGCTACTTATTATTGACCTCGATTGTTGTGGCTTGTATCTTCGATTAGCCTAGCTGTCAAGAAGGAATAGTACTTGTGTCATACCGTGTGTTTTGGGAAAGAGGATAAGGTGCTGTCTCGTACGAACGCATACGAACCGAATGAGGCGCTCTTATTAAGCTCACTTGTATATTTTATCATGTCCAGCCCCGTGTGTCAGCTCCTCGCCCTCTGTGTGTGTTTAGTCTTGTCGTACGCTACTTTATTGGCCAGACACATGGACCAGAGTAGACAGGCATAGACGGAAGCGACGTACGTGCGCGCGTGTGTAGTGTCCGCGTTCACGTTCACGCTCCTGAAGTTAAGTGTCACGTGGCCACTAGACTACGGATTTGTGCGTGCTATGACCGTATCACACCCCTCCTCTCGTGTCGCAAATATCTCCACCCCTCTCCACCATGTCAGTAGGTGGGATGAGTAGTAAGCCCTGCACATGGGGGCACTCCTCCCTCCCCGACACAAGTTCCTCACACACGTTAGCCTCCATTCCTCCCCCTAAGGTAGTGGGGAGGTTTGTGACCAAAAACCTAATAAACCATCAGTAGGATGGAGGCGAGCGCAAAATTCACTTGTTTGGGTCGATACTTATGATAACCTGGTTTTGCATCTGAAGCACGGCGAAATTAACTTTTCAAATGCCAATTTTTTGGCCTTTTCGTCCGTTTTAGAATATCCAGCACTGGAAAACTTACAAGCCATTTCTACTCTGAATTCCTTTCTAAAATTATGGAAAATAGTGGTGGAAGGGTTATTTACGAAGTCTTGTCAACTGATCAGTTTGGATGGACCAGTCTAGTCGGCCATAACTGCGGTTGCGACACTTAAATTTTTCGTTTATGCCGTTAGGTTAAATCGTTTGCACCCGGTAAAGCCGGCAGGGAAAATATTTTCATCAACGGATGAGTTTAAGCTAATTGGGGGGCTGCAAAGCCACCTTTGCATTAATCATCCTCTACCCGTTGGATCAGCTAATTCGTCCCAGAGCTGCCTTGTGATGTCACAGGTATGGACGGCAGGTAGGGCAGGGCGAAGAAACGGTAGGAAAACTCGGAGCTTTGATTTTTCTCTCCTGAGTGCACGAATGGGTTGTTTCAAACCATCCAAACTGCAATTGAACTACAGCACTTGATCGGGTGTTTTTTCCCGCATTTTTCACCCTGCGTTAGCGATCAAAGTCACCTTTTTTGCACAGTGCTCACTGAATGTATGGAAGGGATTTATAGGCTGCGAATAAATCCACAGGTCTGTCTGTAAAGTGAAGTGAATCACTTTCCAACACCTTAGCACTTGCTATATCCCCCGGTTTTATGGGTTGCACTTTTCTTTTCCCCATAAAAAAAACTGCCCCAGCCTCTTCCTCCGGGAGGGCGACTTCCCCTTCACCGTAATGGAATGCTGTCTGTTCGCTTTGTGCATAATTTATGAGGCTCGTTTGTGTGTGCCCTCGACAGAAGACGTTGGGTCTTAGTGTGGTTGTTTGCGTGTGAGACTTCGCCGTGTACCGTTGTGTGCACTCCCTCTTGCGACGTGAAATGAGAGCGAATGCTCGGATGACTATGCTGATGCGGATTTTCTTAACATACTCACTTCTGCGTCAGATCACGGATAATTCCCCAAAAGTAGAGCAACCAAGCTCGTAAGTGGCAATGATAGCATTTCAACTGCATTGGAAAATAAAATGCAACTGTATTTCCTTCTGTTGGAAAGCATGGTTTGATTTAGGAGCTAGATGAATGTCTTCATGCTAATGTATTTTCTCCACAAGGTAGATCCCTCGGACTGAACTGTGCTTACTTTGTTGGCGTGTTTCAGTCATAGCTAAAGATTGTTTCCTTTATATCTCCTTGGGCTATGCATCGAAGTTTTATTTTCAGTGAGCACATCGCTGACATGGAGGGAGGGAGTTGTAGATACCGACGCGTTTGACTGGCGTTTTTTCCTTACAGTGACTCGTTGTCTTTGTAACACCATACGGGGCCAAGGCAATAAAAGTGTCACAGAATCAAACTTAACGGCACAATAAGAAATAACAATTACAACAAAATTGTGTAGTATTCGGTCAATTAAAAGATGTCATGTGAGGAAGTCACTCATGTGACCCAAAACAGCCATATTTTAGTCAAAATGTCAGTTTCCCTCCTGCTGCAGGATGAGATTTGGCATAGTAGTTAGTAAAACATTGTTACATGTTGCAAAGGTGTAAAATGTAACTGAAATTGCCTCATACCAGGAGGAGACTAAATGTGCTTCCAAGATCAAATGGGGACTCTCCTTTTTGTCCAGTCTTCCTCCTATTCCCGTTTTTTAGAATCACTTAAATGCAAAGGTAAACAAGATTAATCTCTCCGAGATGTATTTCAATTTCCCTCTTCATCGAGCTGCCTCATCCGAGCGGCTTCACACTGTCTTTTCCCCCCCGCGACCTCGCCGAGACCTCGTGGAAACCTCAAATCCACGGCTCTCTATCGTTTCGGTAAAATTAAACGCTCACAGGGTCACATGCCAACCACATGGGGTTTTATGCGCACAGCATGTTGTCATATCTCCTTTTGATCTAGCATAAACCGTCGCGAAAGTGTTTGTGGTGCCCTGATCAGGTTCAGACGTCTGATCTTTGAAAGATGATGGTGATGCGATCCACACCATACGACGTCGTTTCTAAAGTGCTTGAAGTTTGTCGTTCCCTAAAAAGTAATAATTTTTCGACACATAAGTGCGTCTATCTCTACCGTAAACGTCACTTACGGCATCACTTTTTGCAGCGTTTTTACTCGGCGTCTGAATAGAAGTCGGCATCAAAAGTAAAGCCTTTCGTCACATGACCCTAAAACGTCTCTTAGCTCTTATACCTGGTCATGGTATTTCAAACGAAGTTATTACAAAGTAAATCTACAAATTGGACATTTCAAGAACTGTTACATATACAATCGCTATCAAGATGGTGAATTTTGCGAATCCTTAACTGTGCCTCTGTTCAGCAACCAGAAGTGAATTTATTTTTTACTTGCTTTACAAATACAACCTTTGGGACAAATTGGGTTTTTCCGAAGCTCTTTCAAGCAACTCGAAATGTACTTTGGGCGACCTTTAAGCTCATTTACTCAAAAGTCTACCAGTAGTAAATTGATGTGACTCACGTGCCATTTTTCTCTCAAATCTGCTGGAGACTTGTTATTTTGGTCATAAAAATGCATTTGACTTCTCTCTCTCTCTCCAAATGAAGCCACAGAAGTGCCGTCATAATGTGCATTGTGATATGCTGGAATTACGCAATCCCCGCCTTCCCATAGCGTCGGTTAAGCAGACATACCCCGTTTTTTTTGCATGGTGGCGAGTTGTCTTGCAGAATACCTTCCTTGCTAAGCAAACATGTGCTTTGCTTCATACATTGATGCTTTTCCTTCCGTAGAATGCTCGATTTCATGTAACGATAGACGAACCTGTATATATTAACTTTACTATAATCGTGAGATGGATGGTGATTTTACTGCTTGTGTCTCCACTTTTTGACTCGAGCATTTAACAATCCTTTGAAAGTCGGATGCAACAGAATGCGGCAGAATTAATTGATTAAGATTGATGTGTGAGCCTCTCCACTTTTGCCTCGAATTTTGGGGCGAGTTGGTGGATAGGCACGCTTCAATTGCCGCTACTTTGTTGCTTTTGTGTTCTATGTTAAGGAGATGCTTTTTTGCTGTATCAAGCAAGCACGCGTTTGGGCACGGCGCGCAAGCAGCAATTCATTATAAATTTTGCCGTTTGTGTACAGACATCGTGCCATTGCCGCCGCCCTTCGTAAACACCCCTTTTCCCATTCGTCAGGCACTTGGTTCATTATGACGGGCTTTGCTTTTTTCCGCTTTTTCTTCCCTTTTCCTCTGTCTCTCGCTCTCCCATCAGTTTGTCCTTTAGTTCGACCGAATGAAGCGCCACCCGCTTGCCATCATCTCCGGTTTAGGCGCGATACATATGGTCTTGACTTCATCGCTTCAGTACCTCCTATTACCATGAGAAAAGTGGTGTTTTGTAGAGGATGAAGGGAAAAAGCAGTAGTTCTAGCGCTAAAACGACAGTTGAAAGACGTGGCTCCGTATCAGGCAATCGGTATGTGAAGCCCTGTAGTCTTCAACAGGGCCACAAATCGTGCTGTCATCGACGCTAGGTAGTCCATTTTTGTATTACTAAAAAGCAGTGCTTATAAAAATTCATCCAATTAAAAAGGTTACCCGGTGTTTTCAGCTAGAGTGAAGGCATGGTTTTTAAAATAATAAAAACAAAAGTTCGGAGCACTCACGAGATAGAGAAAAGTACTGCAACAGATACCTAGGAATATCTGTACTAGGACATCATCTTATCTTGTGAAAGCTCCGACGAATCTTCGTAACTGGTTCATTTTGAAACGCACATTGGCTAAAGTCGGAACTAAAACACCAGATCGATAATGCGAACGGCTGCGTCGGCAGGGGAGGCACGGATGTGAAGATGTTGACATCAGGCCTATTTCATTTTCTATCTTTTACTCTTGTGGGTGTGCGCATGTGTGTGTGGGTGCATACTTGCGAGCGATGTCACTACGACGTCGTCAACCTCGTTTTGGAATTTGTGACCTTGAACTGACCAACTGGAGGATTTTGTCCGGTAGCTGGTGCAAATACTGCCAGTCAGTGGTGTAAACAAGTTGCCCTGTTTTTTTCCACATAGAGGCATCTTTCACTCGGTCTCGCTGTGTGCGCTCATCTTCGCGCTAATTTCAGTTGTGCGATAATTTGTGTGCGCTTTGTTCATCCCAATGATTTCCAAGCTTCCGACTTTCTTCTAGAAGGATATTCACCTTATTCTTACCATCATCTTGTGAATCGCTGCTACTTTCTGCTCCGACGGCATGATGCAGTATGACCTCTTTAAAGGACATTCAAATATTCTACTCACATTTTGATAAGTTTCATTTGAATTTTACAAATATTATTAGCTGATTAGTGATAGTGTTTAGACTGGCATCTCCCGCCGCTATTTTTCGCCTATTTGAAGCCACCATTACTGGTAAAAACGGGTGTTTTTTCTTTTAAAAAACTTGTTGCTTGGCCTACAGACAGAATTTCACTGTTCCTCTGAGAACCTGGTCAAGCAAGTCAGTCTAGTACAGGGCGACGAAAAAGGTCAGATGTGGCCTGCAGCCGACGGCGATGTCGCGCCATCGAGGGGCGAAAGCAACAGTTGCCGCACAGCATCGCACTCGTCCTCCACCGCCGCTTCCGAGCCGACGGAAAGTGGCGATGATGAGGACATTCTCGGGCTCATCAGCTCTTCTCTCGATCGCTTCAACGCACAACTTCATCACAACTCTCAAGTTAGCATTCCCATTCCTATCAATCACCATGGCAATCGCGCTGATACTCCGTCCAACGATATCAGTGGTGGAATTTCTTCCAGTATTTCGAATTCGGTAAGTACTCACTTTTTGCAATACAGTCGATCCATATTTATTGCCATCCATCTACCCGAAGGGGATTGAAACCCGGTCCCCACATGTTTGCTCTTGTGTATAGATTCCCCATTTACTCTCAAAGTGCAATTTGATGTTGGTGGATGTGTATGAAATTGGATTTTAAAACAACTCCTGTGGTGCATCATCATGCGACTACGAGTTCCTGCTCCTTGTAACTCCTGAGAGAGATGTTTGTAGAGATAGTGTACAGGTTTTCGACACTCAGTTTTCCAGGCACAGGCATGTATTTTCTATGCTATTTACGAGAATCATGGCGTCGCCGCTACTATAGCATTTGACAGCATTCGATATGCATATCAATTAAACGCAAAACGTCAGTGCTTCAAAAAGTTCCCTTTTCGCCTGTTGCTATTCTGCGGACGGAGGATGAGGCTACGAATTTCGCTCAAACTGCTCGCTTTCACCTTAATCCAAATTGGAATCCCGTTTTCTTTTGGCGTATTAGAAATCCCTCTAAGGCTTTCCATCCCACTACATTTTTCACGTCCATATTTGCCTATTTAGCTCCCATTAGTCAAAAAATTGGCATGTTTCTTGAGAACCGTTTTTGTGAAACCTTTTTATCAGAGCACGTGCAATCCTCCTGTACATTTATGTTCACCCAAATTAGTCCACGTCAAACCCTATTCAAGCGGTTTTTTACCTGAGTAAAATGTATGAGACAATACAACTTTTATTCCCTGGGCTTATCGATAAAAATCGCATGATTTTTCTATGAAAAATCGGACAGCTAGCATGTCACGTGCCTTGTCTGGCTTCTTTCCTACAGTTGGAAATGTGATTAAACGAACAAAACTGCAAGCAATGTGACTACCATACTTGTTCCTATTTCTGTGAAGTAGTCTTCGGGACTGCATCGAGCATTTTCGATCACCTGCTATTTTAAAATGGACACCCAAAATAGGATATTGTACCTCTTTGATACACCAGCAGTTATCCGAAATGAAGTCACGTCTTCTAAAGTGAATTAGTGTCATCCAAGAAGATGTCAAAATCTTATTGTTGAGATAATGTTAGGACTTCTACACCGGATTCAATCGAACTTTTCTGGGACGCATTTTCTTATAAGTTCATATGCGAAACCCACCCTCACATCCAATTACGCTTTGTAGCCTACTACTGGGTCATTGTGCAACATAAGATCACCCAGCCTTCTCATGCAACCTGCTATTAAACAGGCTCGAGTTACGATTAGCCAATTCGCCTGGAAAGTGCTCTTTCGGGAATTTAAACGATTGCTAGGTTTTTACGGCAAAGCATGCGTTGGGCGGATTTCCTTTGTCGTCTAGCCTTTATCTATTAGGTGTCCCACTCAATCCAGCCTAGTAGCTCACGTATTTGCTCCCCTCTCTATGCGGATGCTTTCTGTATGGTTTGTACTGCTGTGATGAGACAGTAGAACCTCACACAACACCTGAGCGCCGTAGAAACCGTTGCTGCCATGCAATTATTGTTGTGTGGTTCAGGTTTTTGCTGAGATAATTCTCTTAGCAATGATGCCGTGGTAATTAGCAATTTCGCTTGAAGCAATATGGTGAACAGCAATTTCACGGGTAAGTTGAGGTCCTAGAGGCAAATTCAAGCTGCGGATAAAAATGGCGGATGGATATGGATGTTTTAACACTGGGATAGTCTCCACGCTTCCCATAGTTGTTTTTGTGCTGTAGATGTTAAGTTGGTAGATGTCGGTAGTTAGTCGTCTCGTGTGGGTGTAGTCGAGTGTTTGGTCTATTGTAGGAAGATCCAAAAATCCTAAGTATTTAACCAATTGGGTCGTAAAATAGCTTGCTATTCGATCATTCTATGCAAAATGGTCTCTTAGATAGTCAAATTTTAGAGGAACAATGTGGTACGATTTTTAAATCTAAGTAGTCAAAACGGGACTGCCATGGAGCCTAAAACCGATTTATTTCCAAAATTCGCGCATCACTTTATCTTCAAAGCAAAGCGACTTTTCACAAAGTACACAAGCATTAAATGATCCTTGCATAAATAATTTTATGAGCTTTTGTGTCTGCTGTTGTCCGCTTTAAAGTATGTCGCAGACCGTGTTGTAAAAGTACTTTTATCGAGGAGTATGACGTTCCAACCCGCGGTGATGAGAGGTTGGTATTTCTTCCATGGGGCAACTTTTGCTTCCGTATTCAGTAACGCATAGTGCTGTAGTGCACCGCTAGAGAATGTCACATTGGCTCCAAATTCACAATTCCGATGTAGCGAACCGAGGTGCCTATTGTGGAAAGCACAGATGGGCCCTGTTTTTAAAAGCTAGTCTGGGAAAAGGCAACACGAGGTCTCCCGTTTGTCGTATCGCGGAGCAAGCTCATCTACTTGGTAATTTTAGTTCTGACGTGCACAAGATAACTCCCTTGATGGCACTTTTAAGTGATTATTGCACAGGTCTCTCGCCCAGGGTAACAAAGACCTTGGTGACTCATTGCTAATTAAACTCATAAACTCCCGAAAAGTCGTCTCTGTCTATAAAATTACTTTCCTGTTTTTAATACTTTATCCATTAATTGTTCAAAGCAATTTCAAATACCTACTATTGCGGTAGTATTTTAAGACCGCATACTTATGTCAGAAAGGTTATTTGAAGGGTTAAAAAACGCCCCTAATCTTTTTTTATCCAACAGATCGGTTGCAGTAGTTGTTAACACTGTTTGACCCAGTCACCGCTAGATATCTGTATAGTTGGTAGCATTATGCGATGCGTGGTAGACCGAATTGCTGAAGCGTTAAGAATGCTTCAGTGAGGCCTAAAGACATGCTCGTTTCCTTTCTCCTACATTAACATGTATGGCGAATTAGAGAATTCATGCTCTTTAGTATCAGGCTTTACAAATATGGTTTTTAGGATTTGCATATGGAATGTGAGGCTATGTGACATTGTCTTTTCCCAGAGCAAGAATTCGTGCTCTATGTCTAGGACCGTCAACTATCTGTATCCGCTTTGAGATTTGTTGGCACTTATAAATCAGTGCTCCCTTCCCTTTCTGTAAATAGCTGTTTCCTTTATTGAAAATTAGCTGAGCTTACTGGACTTTGCAGAGTTGACTTTATTGGTCCTTTTTATGGCTCTCACATTTGAATAATCTCTTTGTGCCTAAGATTCTGAACAAAGCGTGGTTAATAGTCCATGATCCATGAAATTTACTCCTTTCTATCTTGATATCTAAAGGGAGTCTTAAAATCACGGTAGCAATGCCATTTTGAAACGTTTTTGAAACATTTATTCGTTTCTTTTACTGTTACTATAATTCTTACCTGATACCCACTAAGGAGTGTAGTTTACAAGCCGCGGTCGGCTGTCGAATCGTAACTAGTTTATTTCCTGTTCCCTTGTTTATTCTAAAATCCGTCTCTTTGAAGTGAATACTGGTGGCTAATAACCATATAATGTGGCCTGCATTTTGCATAATCGCCAGAAGTCTCCTACAGCTGGTTACAAAACTTCTCAAGTTTCTCCTCATAGGTGATGCCTTCGTGGGCGTCTTTCGCCGTTACTGCTACCAGTAATACCCACCATCAACAAAGTAATCAAGGTCGAGAGATCCCTGGGAGCCTCGCCTATTCGGGACTTTCATTGGCCTCCTCCACCAATCCGACGGGCCTCTTTTGCGGCTCCTCCGGCGCCTCATTGTCGTTCCTCCAACGGACCTCCATGCCGAGTCCTCCCGGACTTCCCACGCTTTCTCACCAGCAGCAGCCCTCCAATGGCAATAACTCCGAGCGCAAACAGCACAGCCTTTCGCAAACCTTCCCTGACTCCAACGAGACTTCGTCTCTGTGAGTATCAATTGTAATGATGTTCTCGTGTCACGATAGAGATTTCAAATTAAATGAAACATCGAGAAAAGTAGTAATGAGCTACTAGTTTGTAAGTGGAATTTGCTGTTGATTTTGGCAGGTCACGTGCACTCCAGCCTGGCTTGGTCTCATTAGTCATTTTTTGTTCCACCAGGACAATTCGCTTCCCGTCCCAAAAACACACAAATGTACCCTTTCACACTAAGAATTGCCTTTATCTGGCCAGTTTTATCCACGGGGGTGGCGGATGCCAGTCAAGCGTTTGCAGTTTACAGCCCTTCAGCCGTACGTTGATGATCAATTCCCTGTCCGTTGGCTTTACAAATTGTCGCCAAGTGGACCTTTAGTAGTCTTTGCTTTGTTTACACCTAAGAGGGCCTATGCTTGTATAATTTCCATCGATGGCACAGAAGCAATTAGGCGTGCATTCTAAGCGAGGTTGGGATCCACCGATTGGTAAGCCATGCCTAATTGGATTGAGCTTTCTCATTATCTCTTCGTGCCGTTAAACTTCACCGGGTTTTGTCAAGTCATGGAATGCACGAAAATACCCACGCTCGAGGCGACGCTAAGTAGACTTTTTTTTCTGATCTAGTTATTATTTTCGTCCAGACAAATCTATGCACGGCTATGCAACATTATGAAGCGATATGAATCATGCGGCTGTCATACCAATGCTCACATGACATATGTACTTATAGCGTCATTTTCGCATGTGGAAATCATTTCGAAGAAAAGTGGGGTCACATTTCAGCGTCAGGCCATTTTGAGTCCAGGCCACATACATGAAGGAGGAGAACTAAATACTGTGGAGAGAAAAAAAAGTAAAATTTAGTTGTCAAGCTGGTTCTATCTTTGTTAAAACATGATCGCTGCAAAGTTGCTGTTGTTCTTGGGCTAGTTTTAGACGGTAGGAGGTGGAGGAATACCTGAGTCCCGTTATCAGCGCGCTTTAGCGGTCTTCACCTTCAGAAGTGACGAGAACGTATTTGAATGTGTGCATGTGCAAACAGCAGCGCTATCTGCATCCCCTTCCACCTCCGCCTAGGGAATAGATATGTGCGCTCTTGCGGATTTGATTGTCGGTATGTTGGTCTGTACTCGTAAGTGGGGTGGAGAAGGTGAGATGTGAGACGTCTCCGCACGTTGGGGGTCATAAACTGCATGCTCGAGCCTCTTGTCTCTGTCTTGCTCTCTCTCCCTGTTCTTTTGATGTTCTCGCGCCAACTGTAATCACTCAAACAACAGCGACAAGATTTCATGTGTATGGGGTCGTTGTCATTGTCCTGTGGTGAAGGCGAAGTAGAGGCGCTTTATTGCCTGTTGGCTTGCCTCACCTTTTGATTTTTGAAAGGGTTGAGATGTAGCACTGTAAGCTGGTAGGGTAGACAAAAAATGAAAATGTAATATAATCACTTTGGATCGAGGGAGCTACGTTTACTTGTGAGAGGCTCCTAATGAATGCTGGTCTTTGAGTGCAAAAAGGTGGCGTCGTAATTAGTACCCGTTGCAGGAGCCTAGTCCCCAATGTACCCTATGATCCATACAGCTCACCTATTTGGTATTATCAAATATTTTCAGACCTTGTCTATCTACTCTTCCCTCCTTTTTTATTACCGAAGTCGAGCCCTACCAATTGTTAGGCGTTACAGACATATGAGTCAAGATGGGGGGTAGGTTTTACAAGTGAGTAGGATCGCATTATCCTCTTTTTAATCCGTCTGGACATGTGGACGCACACACCTGCGAAATCCATCTAGCGCATCATTTGTTTGGTACATCTTGGATATAAAGGAATAAAATTACATTTTCTTTAAAACAACGTTGTGGATCTTGGGGTAATAAATCATTATGTTGCTTATTTAGATGGCCTATTTCCTATGATCTGATATAGTGTTGAGCTGGTTCTTCACCACGAATATCTAATTAGCTAACTGAGATTGTAGAGGTTTTTAGTTTTACAACAAGATTATTCGACATAATTCGCTCTTTTTATATGCGAGATATTGTTTAGACGGAATGGATTACACGCTCAACGACTAAACCCAAACCTAAATAAATAGCAAATCACCTCGCTTTTGATACGTATCATCGCTGTATCAAGCTTTGCTCCTCTTTAAAATGTAAATATTCCGTAGTCTGCTGACCAGTTCAATGTCAGATTCTTTGTCACCAGCTATTGACCAACATATGCAAAGCGTTATTTATGGACGAAATATTGCCGCACCCTCGCATATGTCCCATCTCTGGCGTGTACTAGACTGGACTTGCGTTCTAAGCCTGCCTGCTTTGGCTAGCCTCCAGAGACGCTACTCCCTCAATAAACTTATCGTACCATACCCAGTTGTTTCCTTCACACGATTTAAATTCGTCGCGCGCACTCTGTCTCGGGGGTTTCGTGACAGCTCATATTCTGCAACTGGCTATGAAATGGAAATTCATGTCAAACACCTTTGAAGCATTTTGTGGCATCTAATGTGCTAGAAAATCATGAGTACTGAAGCCATCTATCCAACTGAAGTGCTACTCATGACCTCATAGCATATTATTAGGGTGATTTAGGAATCTGTACAAGTTTGCGTGTTTTGGTATGCAGAAGAGTACAATTAGTCGTTGTATGATAGGTAATGGGATCGAAATTATCTGGCACTAAATCCATCATCATAAACAAAAAATACCCTATTAAATGGTGAACCTAACCCCTTTGATACGGATTTTTTCCACGTCAATCGCGTATGGTTTTAATTTCTTGCACCCCATATGAGAGACGAGCATGACGGACTGCATTGCAAGTGCAGCTTGATATATTGTTTAACTATTGGTAGGGAGAACAATTCCAAGGACATGCAAAAGCTTGAATTTGCAAGATTTGTGATGGGACACGAGAACAACCTTCTCATTGGCGTTTTCATGATGGAGGCAGATAGTGTTCCTCATTACCGAAACGTCCGACTACAACCTCAAGTTAAACTTGTTCATTTTGGGACTTCACTATCTTCCTTCGTCAGTGCCTGGACAATGCGTTTTTGTACACTTTGTTAAAGGACTTTCATACTACTCCAATACGTGGTTAAAAGTAGTGCGTAATGCTGTCATGCAAATGAATCGTTTCATTGCCTCTCAGTGTCTTTAGTGTGTTGCTCCAATCAATGCAAAATTACTTGAAAGACCAAGTGGCACGTAACTGACACCAGTTCAATAAAAAATGATGAATTTTTACGTTCTTATTTACATATGTGGCTCGCCGTTTGTTTCGATGATTTAGTATCTTCATCCTTTTCAAGTTCGGACCGCTTAATGGTCAATAAAGTGGCAATATTTTTTTTTTTAAAAGAAGCTACACATCATCATTGGTCAGTTAGGCAAATTTACTCTTGCTAATGTTTCCCATATTTTCTCTTTTTTATTATGACAGGCACATTGTCATACTGGAAGAGTGGCATAGGAAGATTGAAAACCTGTTAATGGACATCATTTTAATTATGATTTTATACACTTCAATAATCGCAATGCTATTTTTAGCATATTTCTAATTATTTTTCTTATAGGTGGGAATCGCATTGGAAAGCACTGCCTTCGGAAATGGTGAGTTCAATTCCCCTCAAGTGTCCGTCGCTTCCGGTTTGTGTTTGTTTCGCGTTCCCTTCTCGCTTCTACCCATTTCCTGTTTCGTTAACGTCCGGTCTTAAGCGCCCCTTCTCCGCCTCTCCACGTTCAGGAATAAATAAAAAACCCACCCCTTTCTCTTTCTTTGCTCATCGGTCAACAGCTTCAACGTTTATCATCGTTGGTAATGTCAGCTAGCCGATTGGCTTCTCTCTGCAAACTCCTTCGACTGACAGCTAATCGGTCGTCGCCTTAACGACCTAAAAGCCAATGACTGGGGCCATTCCCATCGTGTGGTCAGAAGGCCACAAAAATGCCCATTTAATATTTATGCGGTTGATCAATATTGTCTCCTCCAGTTAACTTACCGCTTTAACTAATGGTTCATTTGGAATAATTTTTTTCCCTAGGCTAATTCTGATGGGGAAGCAGAAATTTGTTGGGCTAATGGAGTTACCCTTTTGTGTCTTTTGAACGAAGTAGTCAGTCGATAAATCAGTCTGCAAATTGGAAGAAGGTTTGACGAATCCTAATATTCAGCAAATTTTTTACAGATTTTTTGTTTTTCGGTAAAATCAGACATTGTTTACAAATGCATTCCAGTTACCCTTTAATCGCGTCAGAATTTTCTGCTTCATTCTCTAAGGAGGTACTTTGGGACTGGTAGTTTATTGCCTCTGGCTGTGACTGTAACCAAGGTAGTCCAACGATTTTATTCTCGTAGTTTGTAAGCTTTGCGACTTCAAAATGTTGCTAAGACTATACCCTGACCGCAGGTCTGATCAAGTTTTTGTTTCCAAGGTTTAGTAACCATGACTGAGTAGTGGTGTAATTAATGCCATCTAGCTGGTTGTTTCACTTGCATGCTTCAAAGTTAAATCCCTTTTCTGTAATTATGAATATTGTCCCTATCTTTTTCTCGGTTTGACGTTTTTTTTTCATCAAGGCAGCGGAATTAGTCGGAATTCGCATCGGCCCCATATAATACACATGCCTTGCTACTGGGCTGTGTAGCGGCGATTCACTTCTACTTATGTTGTTTGCCAGTGCAATTTATAGACACAGAACTCAGTCAAGACAAATAGATATTGGGGTAATTCTAGCTATCGTTACCTAACCGAACAGTCGATGGAAGTCACTTTGTCGTAATTCTAGGGTATGCTGAGCGTGGATTCGGGGATTGGTGGGGAGACCTTCTTACCGCCCAAATGGTTCGTCACCACCAACTCCACATATTCCTCCTCCAACTCCACGGGTGATTGTACCCAACTCACATCCACCACCAGCTTCAGTCCGGTGGAGGCCTTACCTCCACAGTCTGTCGTTGCCAGCAGCACCTACGATTTCTCCAGTCCCACCCTTCTTGATGCTGCGATCAAACAGGTGGCGGTGGCAGCGGTAGCAGCAGCCGTGACTGCTCCAGCTTCCTCTGACGCCACGAAAGGGGGACCGTCGGACCACGGTGCTGCATCCGGACTGCTTCCCTTACTCTGGCCGCCCTCCTGGCCCAACACCGCCGATTGCAGTCCATCTACAGAAACACCTCAATTGCATTTTCGTCCAGGTAGTAGCACTGTGGAATGAGAATGTGATATGTTTGCTTGAGGCCTCTACTGTGTTGATGTAACTGGAACTATTAGTATTATGAGTAATGACTATCTTTAAAATATCGTAATTGAAAACGAATGCTTGAAAGTGAAACCTGCTGTAACCAAAATTTCATGGAAAGTGTCCTGAATTTCATTGACTTAGAGTTTTTCACATATAGATATTTATCTGTGGAAGGTTAACAAAAAATAAAAGCGTAGTTTCGCAAAGGTATACATTTTCGCTAAGGACGACTATTGGTTTAGAGTAAGGCATTCAAAAATGAGGACTCGATAGCTTTTGCGAAAGCTTCGCAGATATACTATTTGCAAATTTGTCCCAGTCATGACAATTTCGCAAATCGGGCTTGTCAGCTTAAAGCACCATCCGAATGCACGAATAACAAATGCGGGTGGATGGACATATCCAAAGCTCTAGCATTTCTACAATTTTGGGACAACCTTTTTCAAAGTCGTGTGCCATGTTTTACTGTTTTGCATAGACACGGTCCACCTAACACAACAAATCATGCGAACGATATTATAAATAGGTCATTTGCGTGAAGTGAGCAAGGCCTGGGCGTAGGTTTCCATGGTTAACAAATTCAGTGGTCGTAAGGCAATGAGAATCCGGATCACAATAACAGTATCTTGAAAACTTTTTGACCTCATTTTATAGAACTAATTTGTAACTCACAGATGTTTTATTCCATCTCTAAAAATTTGCAACCTTTTCTGATAAATCCTTAGTGGTCCATACCGGTATGTAGTTAAGGTATAGGTGGTGTCTTCAATAACTCAAGTTTTCTTTCTAGTATGATATCTATTTGAATTATTGTTATGACTTAGAATTCCTTGTAAAAATAACTCCTCCTGTCTTCAAAGGCGACAATCAGCATCAGCTAGCCCTCACATCACGTTTTGAGACTGCTCTCCGGCAGCAGCAGCAGCAGCAGCAATCTCGACAGGTCTGCAACCGCCGCAAAGCCGAGTCCATTTGCTTTTCTTCCGCGGCGTGCCTCAACTCGGCGCTTCTGCCATCCAACAATGCTCTGAAGTCGCACCAGCTGGCTCTTAACGTCGGACAATTGGGCTCTCCACCACCACCCTCCCTGCCCATTGATCTTTGTCAACCGCTCTCCAAGTCACACGTCAACACACCGCAGAAATTTTCCAGAGTATGATATTTTAGTCGGCTCTTCATTGTCTGTTTCTAGTGCCTGTGTTCTTACCTTCATGATTATTTGCGCCCAAAAAGTCGTTACCACCTATCCAGCTGTACCGCTTTTAAGTTTTACTTAAATTTGTCTTGAAGTACAGAGAAAATCTATTTTTTGCTCACAGTATTTTTGAAATTTGAGGCGAACAATGTAAAAATAAGTGTACTTTTAATTGTTTTCGAGTTAATCACTCAAATCTGCTTTGGGTTTTTCGGAAACTTTCTGCATTATCATCCACTTTCTACAAATATCTGCTTTTATTTAAGAATTTAGTTCTAAAAAAGCTCACGTTCCGTCGAGTGCATTTAGCTTGCAGACTAACTTTCGCAATAGTGGGCAAAGTTTTCTAAGTAACTTTCCATAATTAGGAAAGAATAATACGTAAAATTACATTTTTTGTGCGAGGGAAAGTAGTTGCATCTTTTCCAAACCCGTTTCCCTATGATTTGCGGAGAAACTTTTCCATATACCATATAAAATGGTCATATCTTAAATTGTAGCTAGCTAAACAACTAACTGAGTGTTTATAGTCCAAGATGAATTTATCATTGCCAAGGGAAGGTTCCTTTACGAATTCCTGTCACCATTCCTCCTGCATAATGCTGCAGTGGTAGACTGAATCACCCCATAAATTAACAATATCTTTTAAGGACCTACAGCAACAACGTGTAGTGGGCTCCTTCAACAAATCGTGCAATGGTGTGCTAGGGGCTCCGAAGGTGGTGGGTCCACGAGGGGGAGGTTCGTGTCGCTTGAAGAGGACGGAGGCCACACCTTCCTTCTCCTCGTCGTCGTCCACATCTTCCTCGGAGATTTCCTCGGATAAGCCTGTAATCGCCAAGTGGCGACGCGCCTGCAGCTTCTACCTGCGTGGTCACTGCAAGAAGGAGGACTGCGAGTTTGCTCACGACCTCACCAAAGTCACATGTAAGTTCTGGGAGGTTGGAGAGTGTTTCAAGGGTCTCACTTGCCCCTTCCTCCACGGCTATCCGCCTGAATTGCTTCTGGAAGTTCGAGAACGGCAGCAGCAGGAACAACAGCAGCTACACCAACAGGAAGCAGAGCGGCTTGCAGGCAAATTGTAGTGCGCTCTGCCCGTGCATTCTAGTCGAAAATCATCATCTGGTCGCGCATTTCCAGGATAATATCAAGCTTTCTCCCCCATTCATTCTTTTGCTATAATCCATGCTAAGGTCTAATCAACAATCAAGCCTCTGTCCCTACTTCCTTTTGCCCCTTTCTAACTTAACAAAAACGGTAAAACCCTTTTTTATTGCTCTTCCAATTAAAAATCCTCTTTTTGAAATGTTTTTTTTTGTCTCACTTGGGAGCAAGGATATTTTAATTGAAGACCGATTCGCAACTGATAACCTGAGACACGTGCTTTGGCCATGCTCTCATCCACCTGGGCGGTGTGTGTCAGCAACACTTTCCTCCAAAGCGGTGAAAACAAAAGGCCAGAGTCTGAACAATGGTCTCTCAACTGACGATCAGCCGAATATCTTTTGTGTGCCCTGTCAGTATCAGTTCTTCTTTTTCCCATATTCCTCTTCATACCATCGCGTGTGGGTCTGAAAGTGAAGCTCTCCATTCCCCTCTCCTCTACCTCTGCCTCCTAATAATAAATGGGGTTCACTTGCGGCCTCTTTGTGCAAGCATATATGGACGTTTTTACTTTGACCAATACAAGTAAAAAAATTGTTAATAGTTGTCTTTTCCACCTCTCCTGCCTTCAAGTGGCTTTGCCGGTTCAGGAGCTTTACGGAGGAAGATAGGGCTAAATTGGCTGAACGCATAAACCGAAGTCTCCTCTAAATTTTGGCTTTTTTGTGGGGCTCTGTATTTCCAGCGCCACTGTGACAAATTTGTTCACATTTCAAGGTAACTTAAATTACTTTGGTTACGGTTTCTATGCCAGGGTGCGAATATGTCTTTTTTTAGTGGATTTAAAGCACGCATTGTGTGTGAATGTGGAAAGCACACCTCTTCAGGGATGAATGTCAAGGCTTACGTTTGTCAAGCCATGGCATTCGTACCCAGTGGACCCATTGCCTAACCCGCTGCTACTTAAGCCCAGCACTTGCGATAAAGTCTCGAGATGGACGGGAGGTTGCCAGTACTCTAGTTGAGGGGGCCAGAGCTCCTAAGTATTGCCCTACGGAGTCTATAAAGCCGCTTGCACTTAGTCACAATGAAAGTTGTTGCTAGTCTTTTTATGAACAGGGAATTATGAGCGACGTGAATAGCACTTTGGGGTCTTACTTGGTGTCGTGAATCTTGATTACAATCCAATTGATGGTTACAAGGAACAATCTTTAGGTAGATGTGTTGGTGGGAGGAAAAAGAATTAACGAAGTGATCTCCATTCAATAAACTGCTTTATCCGGCAATGGAACTCCAGTATCGGTATGTTTGGGAGTGAAAGCTGTGTTTTGGCCAAACCAAAGCATAAATGTTTACCTATGCTAGGCTTCCGTTCGTTGTATTAATTGATCACTGATTTTTTGCCAAAACAGGCAAAATGCGCGTCTTTACATTGCCAGGCTTTAAGTTAGTATAGCTATGTAAGTGCATTCCATTCCAACCAAAGTACTTCCCAAAACTATTATATATGCAAAACGAAGCCATTATCCACATAAACAATATCTGAGATCGGTGCACAGCTGCGATCCATAAAGGTAATTTGACGAGATGAGGCGTCTGTTGTGTTGATTGACGCCATCAGAAAGTTGGGAAGTCCAGTATTTGCATAATGCAACCTAAAGTTTGGTATAAAAAATTAATACCTTTTTTGACGGGGCACCGTTACCTTTAGGACGAGCAGCAGAATTTTATGGGCTTTTCAATGGAGAAATGGGACTCTAAACCACTTAGAAATTAAAAACTTGAAAAAACTTCCGTGAAAGTTGATGTAATCAGCACAAAAATTTAATCGTCAAAACTTTGGCTGAAGAATTATCTTAGGTGTATAAAAAGAGGGATATTTTTTACATTTTAAGACAGTAAACGTAATAGTTGCATTTTCAGAAGGACGGCAAAATTTAGATCAACTTTTGTGATTTCACCGCTAGCAGCAAAGTCGAGCAAGAAAAACACCTGGCAGAACCCTGCAGAATGGAATTCTCTCTCAGGTCAAGTGTTCTGAGTGTGTTCTGCCAAATCTTGGGTGGGCAACGGTATGGATGGCACCAATCAATTCTCCTTCCACTTTCTCAGTTCTTTTAGCTACACTTGGGTGGAGAGGCGTACTCTAAGGAACAACATTCCGTTCAGAATTCCCCCCTTAAAATAAACGCCCTTAAACAAAAATAACAAAGCCGACTCACACCGTAGCAGGCAAACTCAGATGCTGTCCTTATTGAATATGGCTGATTCAACTTCGTGTGCCCGAGGGTCAGTCTCGCTTCGGCTGATAAGACACATGGAGTCGCGGCGTCATTTACGCGGAGGGGCCAGGGCATTACAAAAATCGCATAAACATAAGTGCATCTGTTGCTTAAAGCACCCAGCTAAATTAGCAATGATTGGTAACCCAGCCTTAAAAGTAAATCCGTGATTAGAACACTCCGAGCAATGTCTATGTTAGTAGCGTATACCTGTTATGCAAATCACTCTATGGAGCCAAATACCAGTCACTTTGTAGTAAAAGCCAAACTTTTAACAATCAATCACAACAGCTAGGGAATTCAAAAATGTATATTCCGAAGAGTAGCCTACAAGGCTATTAAAATCTTCAAAGTACTTACCTTTAATTGTACACTGTCAGCCATGTTGATAGGTCAACTTTTCACTGCTCTCTTCTCATGAAAACGATGGTGAGTACTAAGGCCTCAAATACTGGCGATTCTATGTATTGAGGTGCCGCTTAAGTGGTTCATTTGGCACTGCTAGGTCTCACCGTGTTGCAAGGGTTGATTGCAAACTCATAAGCAAAACCCCACCACCCTCAACTCCAATCTTCCATCCATTTTGGCATCAGATCACGCGCTGATTCTGGTAAAATGGGCAGTGGGGTGCATAGCCCGAATTCATTCGGAGATTGATTCAAAACAAGTGTGTGGGTGGCGTTGCATTATCGGGTTGCTGATCGGTCCATTGCAATCTCGGGTCTAGAATTTTTCCATTCTTCAAGCTGTCAGGGTAAATTTACTTCCGAATCAAATTAAACATGCACTTAAAGTGTTTCCTAAATCACATTAAATTTACAAGTGATGAATGCGGTAGTGGCATCTTCACGACAATGCTATGTTTTAGTGCCTGAAATACAAATAATAACCATAAATTACAAACAGCAACGGATGTTAATTTTCCTTGGTCGTTGTGTCCATTGTTCCCTATTTTTTGCTGCTGCTTTTTAAATTGTCTGCGCCTCTACTGCTAAACGACAATCAGATCGACGCTGGCACTGTTGCTGTCCTGAAAGATTGTTTGCTCACCTGGCTGTAATGTTATTGTCTAACTTCATGCAATTACAGCATCGTTAGAATCACAAGCAATACAGTAAATACAGTCTTCCACTTGGATTGTTTTGCTGCCTATTTCCGTGTTCTACGCTCTTTCCACGTTTTAGCTAGTGGGACAGTTACCACCCGGAATAACAAAATCTTACGTGTAACGAAACTCTTTTTAGAAATCTGTACAAAATTGTTTTTAAAGATGTGGAAAAAAATTTAAGCTCTAGAACATGGTTACAAATAGGCTGAGAATGTGCTGATTGTTAAAATAGGTAACTGTAGGTAATGGAATTCACTGAAGCCCTACAGACAAGTATAACAATTAGGCCTTTTACGGCCCATAAAGTGAAGGAGTTCGACCATGGGCTATGCATTCAGGTGTTTTAATTAAAAGCTTGGTAGTTTTACGGACCGTATGAAATAGGGAGATGGTAAATCAGAAAAAAAGGAATGGAATTGCAGTCATTTAGTTAAATACGTAAAATTTTATCCAATAAATTTACAGTAATCAAAAAGGAAAACAAATTGCAGTAGGAGTCGTAGGTACACTGGTAGAGGTTCAGCCCTTTACTATGCTGACTGAGAATAGTCTCTTTATCATAAAGCGTTGAAGCATAGTAAAACCGCGACTTAGTGATCTTTTAAACAGATTCGGATCACCATTTTATGGAAATCGGAGCGCACTTGTTAGTACGAAAAAGGTCTGCCATAGTGTGGCAACCCGAGGCCACGTATCAAGGGGGCCAAAAAACTCTTTCGGCTTTTGGTGCTGTTCGCCACAATGAGCTATTGTAGTTTGCGATTGTCTGCATGGATGCATCATGAATCATAGATGTACATCGGTCTATCGGCAAGGTTCCTTTGATTGCGTTTTGTACTACTTTTCTCCTACTTTGACCCCTCTTACATAACATGACTGCCTGCTCTAAAAACTAATGTTTTCGGTACAAAAGTTTTTACCTAGCATGTTTTACAGTGATTGGAGAAGGTGCAGTGGCAGAACGTATCACTCAGAGTCAAATGTTTAAACAAACGCTTTTCTGTACATGAATCATTAGGTATAAATGCCATGATTAATCGCCATTAACAATATGGAGTACATCCCGTGTTTAACTTGAGAGATAAGAAGCGGTTGGAACCTTACAGAAAAGTACAGCAATTGGGTATTTTATGGCCCATAAAGCAACCGAGTTCGCCCATGGGCTGTAGATCAAGGTATTTTAGTAAAAAGTTCGACAGTTTTGCGGGTCGCATTAATTGATAAAAAGTGGTACTGTAGTCTATTATTTAGAGATGAGAAATTTTATCCAATTTTATTGAATGAACTTTTGTAAGTGCATTAATCGGGTAAGTCGTTAAACCCATTAGGCAGATGAAGGTTCCGTGTATAAGCGGATGACAGAAACTAGGCTTCAATGACTATCAATTAGCTTGTTGTTTTTCATGCACGTTGGATAAAAGGACGAATTTTAGCGCTTACTATCTCGCTGGTGAGGAGAAATTGCTTCTGGATTACAGCGTTAGTTAGGAGAACGTACATACTATTGGTTGCACCCACTGTGAATTGCCGCTTGAAAGCCAGAGGTCTATCTGCTCGGTGCGACACATCTCGAAGGTGTGGAATTCAGCCTTCTGCTTGAGAGGCAGCCAGGACTATGTATACAGTTGGAAAATAGCCCCATTTCTAAACTTGCATGACAAAGCGAAACCTCCTCTCTCATACCGCAAAATTTTCCCATGATGAGATTAATACTTTAGGGTGGGACAAGAAAAAGGTATCGCCTCGCCAAACAATGATTATCACTATTTGCGGTACCAGGCAATGACATACTTACTTAAACAGAAAGTTGCGGAATAGGAGTGAGGGGTAGGTTCTTATTTACAAAGACAAAACATAACAAAATTAGGATTCGCAGCTAATGTTATTTCCCGTTGGCAAAAGAGTACAGAGTGTAGAGGTGATTATGCCAGTTAAAAACGCCTTGTAAAAGGCATTCTGTGGTTACTTCATGCTTACCATGGAAAACCTCACGGAATTATTTGTTTACTTTAAACACACACATGCACTAGCACCAACAGAAAGTTGAACAAATTGTTTCTTCCACTAGCAAAGTCACAAACACGCATTTAAAGCGGATCTAACATATCCCATTTCTGATTCAGTTCAGGAGTTTTTTTTGGGTACTTTAAGACAAGAAAATACAAATAGGACCTGAGAATATTTGCAGGGCGTTTTGCGATTCGAAACCCCCATTTTTCTTACGAACTGAGGCCAAATGGATTTAAACATGAGGTGAGAAATTTAAAATTGCTATTTTATATATGGCAAAATAGGCACACGATTTAAAATAAATGCCTAGGTTATTGGTACTAAATTACCTAAAAACTGTTCACTGGGGAGGGTCTTAACTGTATTGAAAGTGAAGATTAGTAGTACCTTACAGGGGCCTATACTAGGAATGGCGTAAATAAACACCATTTGAACGAGGAAACACATATTTGATTTGATTTTTAGCTGTTTTAGTGAATAATTTTATCAGCGCCATCACTGGGTTGGCCCAGATCCGTGTTGACAGCAAAATTCTGTCACTGACGGGAGAGGGACAATCAAATTAGCAGTGTGAGGTTCAACGATTGAGTTCCTTCTCACCACCCTTCCACCGTGCCTCTGCAGCCGATGTACGCACTCACAAGCAAGAGGTACTAAAAGAGAGGCGGTTACAGTGTGTAAACTACTTCAAATCAGTAAAAAGTTCCGTTTTTTTCCATCATTCGGAATACGTTTAAATGTATCAGAATCATGACTGGACAATATCGTGACACGCATGAAAATGCTAGAAAAGTGATATAAAAGGGGTATCACTGAGAGGCCTGAAGCTCTTTCATTGTTTAAAGTCTTTGACATTTAACATTTCTTTAGTGTTTAAACAGATTTTTGTTCTTTAAGGTAAACAGATGCAAAGAATTCTTTACAAAATACTTTCATGTCCTCCAACTGCGAAAATTTTGGATGTAGATATTTTACATTACCAAATCCCAATCAATTTTTACTCAATCACCACCTGAATTTCCTTCCTAAAAACTGTTAATTATCGGATCGAAAGATCGACTGTACTAATTTATACCAAAAAATGAGACAGTATCTTGTTTAAGAACGAATTATTTAAACTTAATATCCAAAGGATGGAAAAAACAGATGGTTTGGCTAAGCAAAAACAACTGGATTAATAAATTAATGACTGACTCTTGGTTACAGACTCTCTAGTTATAGACTTGAGCATTGAGCCGAGGGCTAACATCTATCATGTTTATAAAAGAGCAAGGCAGTATAAATGAATACGGTGTAGTTTAATTTGTGTTACTGTTAGAGCAGATTGAGCAATGAGAAGAGGGAAAAATCATTAGTCAGTTTTAACCTTCAAGCCTTTCTAAAGGTATTCTATCATGCTCTACATGTAAATATACTGGGGCAGCGGGAGATCCCGTCTATTACCAAAACAGTACTACGTTGACATAGGAGATACCATGCACCGGCATCGCCGCTTTTCGATCGTCTCTCCTCCCACCTGTAAAGACATTGGCCTTGGTGTCTGAAGCCAGGACGTTAAATGGGCACGCCTAGACGCGTACCCGCTCCGCATGTAGGACAAATTTGTCGGAATCCGGGGTGGGGAAATGTAAATGAAGCTTTACTTTTAGTAGAATCCCTAGTTAAGAGTGTGAAAGCACATAAATAATGTAAGAACACGCAGTAAGCTATGCATACTAGATCATTTAATACTCTAGACAGCGTTTGTAGACCCAAACAACTGAAACGGCATCGTACAGACATTAGAGCTTCCGATTAACAGCAGTTCGAACTCTTGAACACCAGGTGGAAATTATATAAATTATTTAGGAATAATGCTTAAAATCATTTACTATATATAGTTTCATCCTCGTCCTGTCTGTTTTCCAGTTTACTGACAAGATTTATGGATGTTTTGGGCATGTTTGGGGAGGCAAATTCAGATGGAGCCACAAAACTATGTAGTTGATTCCGGCGTGTGCGAAAACTTTGTTTGAAAAAGGCGTTTAGCTTAATGAACAATATTAAAATTAGAATACATTTTATTACAAACACAGCACTTTGGGGTAAAGAAAAATAGTCCATTCATGCGAATCAATGCTTTATACCTACGGAAATAGTAACGCCATTGTGCATAACAGGTTTGAATATTTTCTACTAACAATACTTATTTTTTAATTGTCTTCATCTAAAATAATAAGTTTATCTAGACTTGAATTTGCTACCAAACGCGATATTTATTTGACCATCGGCCTATATTTTGATTTTATAATGAAAATTCTGCAACGAGGTGCAAATGTAAAATAGGAAATTGACTCACAGTTCCAAAGCCTGTTTTACCAAAAACTGAACATCCCACTACCCTACCAAATTTGTCGAAAAATAAATGAATTGTGGATTAAATTTGGCGCAAATTTGGCCGCGTAGTGTAGCTCTTCGAGAATTTCTTGAAGACTAAAGAAGGCATAATACCGTGGTAGAACACGTATTATTGACGTACAGGTCTTGGGAGCTACTGACATGGCCCGGAGGCCAGGGCCACCCGGCGGAGGCACAGAGGCGGAGCCCTAAGCGGCCTGTTACCAAAGCCGATAGTTAAACAAACACTTGAAGTTTTACACCTATAGTTAGACAACTTTGAACTTCATTTTAATCTAGGGCCATATTTCTATTGCCAATTGAAGGAGCCCTTTAACTTCAACCCAGCTAAAAGTAAAAGGCGTTTTATTGGCTGGTATTTTTTTAATTGGAGAATATAATGCTGCTAAGATACAGGGGTAAGTATGATCACATTTCAGGAAACGGATGTGTTCAGTAGTTTTGTCTCTGACTGCGGCTAGAATCAGTGCTGTTCATGAATTCCTTAGCTTATACAACTGTCACGGCAGGGCTGAGTAAGCCCACCAGTAAGACTTCGTACCACGTGTGCACCCAGTCACACACGCGCACCCAACCGGGTGGTCATGTGGTGCTCCAGTGTTTGAACAGCGCCAACTTACGGTAAAGTGCGTCAGAGATTGTCAATTGCGAAAAGTTGGCTTGCACGCGTCCCCTGCCCACCCCCTCTGCCTTAGGTCAGTCGTCTGCTGTCTCGCCGGTTCACAGCCCACGGTGCGATAGACGCATCCGCGGGCTCGGTAGTTTTGTGGTGAGTTATGCATCCGTGTCACAAACAGGGCTGAACCCGCGGCTATACAACAATTGGAGTGAATCCGGTTTTGTTTTCTGCCACTGTTTGAAAGTCGCCTACATAAACATCATGATCGCGAGATACGTACATCGGATGAAATCATAAAGCTCCGTCCCTCTTCCTCTCTCACACAATCTATCGAGTATTTTGCATTTTAACGGTGGTCTTAACTATTACAAGACAATTTGTAAGAAAACCATTAGGCCCCCATTAGGATTGGCATATTAGCTTCAAGCCATTGTTGCTGAGGTTTCGCCAAAGCACTTATGAAATATCTTGGAGATAATTGAATGACCTTCGGAAGGCTATTAATTTTTATTAGATTGGACGTTATCAAGCTTGCAGCTTGTGGCGTCATCATTGAAACTACTTCATTAAGTCAAGAGGTTATGCTAGCATAGTGATCCAAAGTTTTAAATGCTCATTATAGGAATCATTCTCCCTACATCACCAATGCCTAAACAAACTTAATTAGAAAAAATCATGAAGCGCGGGTACATAAAGAAATGTTCTGCACTGACCAGCTAATGGCTCCGGGTTCTTCTACGCACCACACACTTAGATCAAGTGAAACAAGGCCCCTGTAATATAGATACAACCTCTACTATAGATGAAAATAACTCCTAATATAAATTTGCCTTCAATGCTGTGGTATTTAGTACGTGAATCAGAACTGAAATATGGTACTCGTAAAAAAACCTTGGGACATGTAATTTTAAAGCTCATCCCAATTTATTAAGCCTAAGCTTAAACCTGATGAATTTAGCTCAGCGTTTTCTACCCACAACTTAATCTGGAATTCATGAACAATAGCTTTTACAATTTTCAGGCGTTTTTGAATAGTAGTGTTAGCCGATCATGCTCCATCACTGTCGGAAACGAAGTGCAAATCACTACAACGCTCACCTGCTGCACGTTTCGTCGCCTGAAGAACACGTTCCTCAAAATCTGCCGATTTTGAATTTGAACTTTTGTTACTTGTGAACGCACCTGAAAAGTATAAATTATGTATAAATTCTGTTTAAAAGTAGACTCATTTCGAGAATGATGTCAAGCAAAGGAACTTTTACTGAAACGCCGGCAGGCCTTGTCGCGTGCAGGACTACTGCGAGTTCCTACCCTTACCTGGCCATGCGATAATTGGGTTGTTACCGGAGCCCTTTGGCGAGGAGAATGCTTAGGATTAGGGCTGAACATAATGAGCTGTGGTTTTGTAGATATAGGCTAACAAAATAGACACCCCAGCAACTGTTGCTTTGTAAGACAGTACAAATGGAAGGAAAAATCATCAAATGAATAAAATTTTTGCCGCAGAATGCAGTCTTTTCCAGCCTCTTCAAATTTATTAAGGGTTCTAAAGAGTTTTGAAAGGAAGAATACTCAGTGAGAAGACCTTACCGATTGTGTTTATTTATTAAGAGGAAGATGTCATGAATTGCCATGCAGCTTATCATTCGATAGACGTACTAATCTTGGTTGTAGCGTCACAAGAATGGACCTTTTTAAATTATTGCATAACCTTTTCTTACTGCGAAGATACTTGCAGTAGAAGGAAGAGTGTCACCGAACGGCCTATAATCGTCCGTCATTTTGGGATAATCTGGTCCTCTGGTTATTCTGCTTTCGCGGCGACTTCGGCACAAGTGGGTGCGGTAATCCACAATGTGCCAGAAACCTTCACACAATGTGTGATTTTACATTCCCACAAAACCCCTTATCGCACAGAGTAAGGCCACCTGCCCGATCTCGAGGATTGTCAGCCCGTGAAAGTAGCCGGAGCTGTTCAGGTATCATCTCGCTCCTCCGTACCCATGGATTTTAGGCTTTTGGTCTGAGACATTGGACTCGAGGTGTCCTAGCTTGGGAATGCGAAAGAGCTACGAATTTATAGTGTTCCCGAGTTAGGTTCCGAGGAAAAGTTATAAATCACTGGTCGAACTCAGATGGACCCATCTTTTTGTCGTGGCAAGAATAACAGTACCACATAATTAGCACAATTTTATTGTTTTCTTGAAGCGCTGTCGTGCGAGCAATTACGCAATACTCGCTAATGGTGTGGCCTTCCAATAGTTTGAAAAATTTGCCTGCAAGTGCTAAATAATAGTTTATATTGCAATTATGATTGTTCTTCTTTTACCTTAAAACGAATGTTTGTTACACACCCCCTTTTTTTAAAAACTTTAACTTACCCTATTTTTGTAAACAGCCAAAGTTTATCATGATTAATTTGACTAACGTACATGATGGTGATTTTGCTTTTCGAGAGCAGTGCAGTAGCAACTTGGTTTTCCTTACTTTAAGAAGATGTATTTAAACAGGCGCTGGTTTAGCAATGCTTCAAACACTTTCCGTTTGGCAATAAACAATATGGGAAATAAATGAACCCTATTGGTTCGAGTACATTGCCTTACGTTGCCTAGATTTCAAGTATGCTATTTTGTTTCCCATAAATATAGCAGGATTTAACCATTTTGAATGAGAATGGCAATCGCATTTCTAACACGAGTATTGGTATGTTACATTTCGTAGTAGGACCTCACAAGTCACCGATGGCTATAAGTCTGTCATTGACCTAATCTTGTTAGTGACTAAAAATTTATATAAGCATGTCATCAAGAGGTGAAAATGTTTTCATTTAAGGGAGGAAGTATTATCAGTACATTACTAGTGCTAGCATTCCTCTGTCCCTAAGAATTCAGCCAGCATAATGTCATCTAGTAGGAATGATTACACACATAGCTGTGTTATGGTAAGGAGTACTAATTTCGCTCAAGCGGGCAGAAAAAACCATGTATGTTTTAGGTCTTACGTTGGTCACATAATTTTTTACCCGTAATTTTGTCCCTGTGGCCTTTTTAAAAGAGTGGTAAGCTCGTTGGTAGTTCCATTAAATAGTGTAGACTAAGCCATTATTCTAGTTCTACCCAACGGATGATACTAAGATTGACTTAAAATGGCCTATGTGATCAGCGACAAACTCACATCAGGATTACGTCAGGATCAAGGGCACAAGGTGGAGTTAGTAGTAAAAGAATTATTTAAATTAAAATACGGTGAATATGCTAGGTGAGTTTCCAAGTAGCTTCTAACAACGCATGTTTCATTCAGCTGTTTTACTAACTTTCTCGAAAGACTAGTAAAATTTTAGTGCCGAAATTTATGCGTTGGCAATTCCAGAGTCTGGGAATTTCTGCATGCGTCGAGCATTCTCAGTACCAGACAGTGGGATGGTAAATTGAAATATTGCCACCCTTATGTCAAACTTTAGTCCTTGCAAATACTATGATGGCTACATAGGCAACGTTGAACCAGCAGCAGGTGCTTTAGATTCAATTACTTTTTGGGAGGCAATTACAAAAAGAATCAAAACTGAAATCCATTTCAGACACCATATTAAGTTGCCTTCAGTACCGCTGTTGCGAGTGCCTAAAAATTGGCTTTATTTGGAAGGACCAAAAAGTTTCATCAGTTAATTTTGATCCATTTTGCCAAAATTCTGACAGTAGCTGATCGCGATAAACAATTTTTAGAAGTTGTGATCGATCACTGGACTAAACTAAAGTTTATAGAGCCTACAATCAATTGTTGCATTTAATGGTTAGGTCAAAGGGTACCATTATTTGACCACATTGCTGTCAATATGTGAGTTTCATCTTCATTTGTTTCAACACTGGCATTTGTGTTCGAATCGTCCGGAAATTCCTGATCTTTTCCGCTCTGATGCCGCAAAAATAACATGCCGTTCCGTTGACTACTGAATCTATGCGTTGCAACTTGAACACGATTGTTAGGTTAGGTGGAGATTAAACTCGTGTCACCTCTAATTAACATAACTGGCAAATTCCACATTCTTAAATGCTCCAATTTTTGACATAGAGCGGTTGACTCATTCCGCAGAAGTGGTGAGTCCGGAAGTATGGTTCTTCTGCATTGCAGAAGAGTGCCACATAAAGTAAATTTCTAAAGAAGCCACGTCATGAAGGAACGCGCTGTAATTAAATGTGGCAATAAATAAAACACTAATGTCACAGCACAAGTTTGTGGTTATTAAGATATTTAACATTACTAAATATTTGTTTGGAATATGCTTCTTACAGGCCTCTCCAACTGGTGTTATTCACTCTTGGCACAACTGTTCAGCATTACTGGTGTCTATAGCCCTGAAGATATATCACATTTCTCCAAAATAACCCGTCTCGGTACTCGTGACTGCATAGGCCTCATCAGAACTACAACGATAAAGCTGATTACCTGCATAATAAAATTATCCCCTCATCTGTTGATCGAGTCAGAAATGTGGGGTTATAAAGTAAATTTATGACTGTCTACACACGAACCCCCAAGAAATAAAACTTTTTCATGAGGAGTTGATTTCTCCCGAGCTAGACACGCGTTAGCAGAGATCATGGCATAGAAGAAACCAATTAGTTTCACATTATTTCCTTTAGTAGTTCTGATTGTATTACTTTGATACTGTGCATTTAAATATGCGGACATTTTACTCTCTGCAGGTTGTACCTCCACTTGACAGTCACAGCCCTTGATTAAGCCTATAGCCTGCTAGTCCTTCTGTACGTTAATAAGAGATTTTCTTCCCTGCTAATTGGGGAAACTTGGGGCCCTATATTATTAAAAATGACAGCAGGTATTTAATAGATTTGTGCAACAGGAGACATCCCATTGAGAAATAACGATATGAAAGTATTTTACAAAACTTAGTAGTATGACATTACCTCTTTGATACAAAAATGTAAAAAGAGTGCAATTGTATTGGTTGTCACACTGAAGCCACCAATGGATGTTGCCATGATGAAACATGACGTTTATGGGTCTTGGATTTCCGGGATGTGAATGAAAGAGCGGCAGATGCAAATGTCCTAGGTCCTCTATTTGACAGATATGTTATCAAACACAATCCTACTTTGTTTTCGGAAGTAACTGGTGTTCGACGTGTCGTTGAATAGTCGCCATCGGCAGTCGTAGCTTCTGAATTCTCTTATAACAGCTTTCAGAAATTGCCACGTAGGTATGGAATTTAAAATCTGCAATCTCGAGAATAAAGGCCAAATGCAAAGGATGAAGTTCATTTATGATTTTTGCGTTGATAATTCGTCACACCGGCTTAAATTTGTACAATTGACTGTTAGGCATTTGAGGAAATAACATACAGGATTTGCTTAAAAATCGTACTTGATTGCACAAGTATTAGTTTTCCCTCAATCCATTCAAGAAATTCAAAATAATTTACTTAGTCACAAAAATCTAAGAACCAAAATAAATCCGAGTAACCTGTAGTGTTACCCGGAGAGGTCCCAGGTTTTCTAATTATTTTAATCCATTTACAAAATATTTACAGATCCACTCACAACCTTATCTTGTTTACAAATCTTAGCTGAGACTCGGCCCTTGTTTAGTGTTTTCAGGACACGATTATGTAAAACTCACCTGAGAAACCTTTCAGAAAGGTTTTTATTGAACAAAGCAAGTTAACAATTTGTTTCGGCCCTTCGTCTCCTCTGGTACCATTAACTGGTGTTGAGTTCTCTGTTCTACAAGTTGTACCATTACACTAAAACGATATTCGTTATCACCACTGCTAAGTCAGTAAGCACCTTTACTTATTTATTCCATATTAAGTTAGGTTTCCCTATTGACGAAATCAATGCAGAACTCCATAGGCTTATTATATTTACTGTTCCTTGTGAAAGGTGAAATGAACCTAATAAATAGGTAGTAGAAATAACGACTTGTGAAGACGAAAAAATGCAAGGCATCCAAATGGATGTATAGATATGAATAATCGGAGTGGCTAATTCACCAGCAGAACAATGGAAGAGGATTCCGCAACCTTTCCGATTCTCCAGTTCCAATGCAAACAACAAACTTGCTCTGTAACGGAGCACAAGGTGGAACTGTCAAGCTCCAGCGCTCAGCCCAAATGTGTATGCTGATGGAGCGGAATGTTTTCAGTCGGTTCTTGTTTGCATAATTTTCTCGGAACTCGGAGGACAAAACATTGCAGTTTTTCGTGTAGTTTGTAAAATGTCCTTGGTAAAGCAAATTCTAGAACAACAGCAGTGCCTTGATGGGTATTTGATACAAAAAAGGTTTTCCTACCTGTGTTCCGCACCAATGAGAAGGGGGATTGGGTATTACCTAGCGCCTGTTTTTCCTTCCTCACTGCATTTTATTTGAAATTTAGTGCTCACATTATCAAGGTGTGCAATGCATACAGGTGTAGAATTAGTTTTCTCCATCGCTGAAATGGACACCATTGAAATCGTCATTAATAAGTGCTTTATTAGGTGGTAATGGTTTTTACTAATTCGGGATACTCACATCCAGGGGTTTGGGTTCTATCAAATCAAGAAGCCATGAAATGGGCAAGTCTTTATGTGAATCCAAATTTGGGGTCAAACTTATGAATTCACTGACAAAGCTCTACACCATACTAAAAGTAATTTAACCATTTGAAGGTATACTTGAACTTATGCATATTAAGCAGAAAAGCAGAAAGTTCTTGCATAAGTCATTTGCCATAGTTAAACCTGATTTGTTATTACTTCGAGTTCATAGTCAAGTAAGTGTTGAGTTCCTTAGTGGCCAAAGTCCATAAGCAATGCTTGAAATAAATGCACTGCTCCTACTGTCTAAATTTTCAAAACCACTCTATTGATTCTGGCATTTTCACGGCACAAACTGGCTAATTAAAATTTATTCTAATGTGTGAACGACTGACAGCTTTGTGATATGGTAGGGTAATGCATATGTTGTTTTAATGTTTTTTTTTTCAGAGAGGAGGGGGGGATACGAATCGAACCTCGTGACTGAGGTGTCAGTGTCCTGCAAACCGGAGAGCGGTTACATGTCCACACCCCCCAAACTCTGTACTGACTTCCCCTACTCACTTGCCCTAATGAGCATGTCAAAATCAAACCAACCTGGGTGTTCTAAGAGTATGAGGACCAGGGAG